AATATGTTGATGAATCTAAATATAGATGCAAGTTATGGGGTGTATTCGTGTTTCTACCATGGACAACTGTAAACCCATTTTATGTTCATTGACTCAATTCCTTCTATTTTGTATACCGATGATAATGGTATATACAATACTGTTAATCACAAATTACACTATAAATGGGAATAACAATGATTTTATACAATCTAATTGTTTGTGATATAATGAATACGAATTCATGAGAACATGTAGTCGTAAATTGTAAACTGGTCTAGAGATTAAGCGTTCACGCGCGAAACCGGTAGGATGTGGATTCGAATCTCACGAAGCGGGATAGTGGATGCGCACTGCTGAGGAGTCCCATAATAAGACGAAACGGAGGTCTAGTGCTTCCAGGTTTTCATGGTGGTCTAGCCTTAATTCACTCATGAATTCAATTATTAAATTACTATAATATCCACAAAACTTATCTCTAATTGTAATTATACAATTGTGCATTTCTTTTCTGCTTTTCACGAATAGTATTCCAACAGGAAACAATGAGTTTTAAGCGTTCTTCAAGTCCCGACGATTAAGGCTGGGCTACTTCGTTTACTACCTTACATATGTGTTGTGTGAAGTATATGCTATATGGCTATGTAGAGCTGAAGGTCTAATATCACACTAGAGCTACTTCATTGATATTGTGGATGGTTCGGAATTACTATGGCAAGTTTTGTTGAATGTCCATGCACAAAATTGGTTTACTGGTTAACTGATTTCATTCATATTGTTGGTTGCTTTTCAGTGCTCTTTAAGTGCCATTGTCATTTGGACATTGTAAGGCATATCACCATTGCTAACATTAATGAGTTTGAGTGTCGTTTAAGCAGGATAGATGAACTCTGTCCTATTCATAGTGTGGATAATTGATTTACGCGATCAATAATTATACATGTGATATGAATGTGTATATGAATAGTATGAATGATCCCCCAGGGTGCTTGCTGCCTTCGTGGTTGAGCCGCAAGATTGAAATTTACTATTCAGATTGTAGCGCTAAAGCCTATATGTTTTCTGAATCTCCTGTGTAGCTGGATTGATCTGTACTGATCAGGTTAAGTCTGGGTGGTGTCTGGCTTTCCTGTTAAATGAAATTGAGCTATACTCATTGAGTTGTCATGCGAAAGTCTTCATAGTATCCGGTTTTCATGAATACTAATGTACAATTACCCTAACCTACAAGGGTATATTATATAACTGACTGTATATCTGTTTATTGTATGGTGAACAATTATGAGCTTGTCTTTGGACAATAATTTTCAGAATTCAAATCACAAGCTTTTAATTCAGCAAAGCGTATCAATTAGTTTACGAATGTTAGATTCTAGTTCAGTGATTGAAATAACCATTACGAGGCTCGAAAGTCTTCATTTCTATTGATCGATGAGTATTTTTCGATTGTAACTAAGGTTTCATGTATAAGTACAAAATAATTGGTCAATTGAGATGATGGTGAAGATTTGTAGTAAACAATGATAGATTTAAGGTCAACATGAGCCAATCAACATCGAGATGTACATGACAAGCTGTGAACTACATGTGGAGAAAATCAAGCACTTCACTTCTATCTGACGTTTATGCTGATGATGTCATTCAGAAGAACAATAAAAGCTCCACAATTAAACCATCCAGTTGAGAGAACAAAACTGCATCAAAAAGTTTCTCAATTACTCCTGGTTACCGATAGTCGACTGATTGAGATGAGTTCGTGATGTAAAATAGAAAATTCAACAATCTTCACAATACCCTACTAGTAATTACAATGAGTATTCTGTATCTTGTACCTAAGTATATCTATGAATTAAACCCAGTAACTTTCACTTTGAATATCGAGGCAATTCATACACGATGTGCATATGCTCAATCAAGACTGACTAATACTCACTCAAGAATATCAACAATAGGATAACTCAAACCCGTTTTAATGATAATGTGAACACATTGTATTTAACTAAAAACATTTTAATAATGCTAATAATCATTGTCAACTGCGCCTGGAGCCCCCTACTCCTGGACCCAAGCCCGGATAAAGTACGAGGGTTGGGTATAGTGTTAACGACCTCATCCCGTATTAAACTAACTCGTTAAAGATAAACTTTAACCAGAACTAGTTAATAATAATTGTCATTGCAAATATGATATCGAGTACTGTTGGTGTCAGTAACAGTCACTGTGATATTGGTAGACGTTGACTTATATGGTACATTATCTCTGTTATGAACTTCAAACTTGGTACAAATATCTATGTTGATGAAAATCGATGTATTTATAGGTTACCTGTAAGTAGACAAACTCGATGGAAAAACTTAGGAATACAATATTTTTCCAAAAATTCTTGATGATCCCCAACGGATCCGACCTTATGTCACCCAGCTTCACAGTCAGAAACGTTACCACTTAGGTACCGGGGGCGCGACTGACTTCCTGTAAGATTGAGATGTATTTACAATTGATTGATCACTGGGTGCTGATCAACATCTTTCGGTTTGCACTAATAAGAACCTGACATGACATTGATTACTACCCAGTGATTGATCAATCGTAAATACCAAAATCATTGGAAGATAATGATCAATAAGAAATCATTTCCCTATTGAAGACTCATAGAAGTTATTCTTCAGTAACACTTTTTAAATTGAAGTTATAAAAAGTGATTTAAGTAAAATAGTGGTATGTGCTACTGATATCGACAGATATAAGTAGTATGTATCATCAATAGAAAGTGAAATACCTAGTGGTTGAAGATTAAGTAGATCAAAAAAGAGAGAACGAGTAGAAAGTGAACAATAAGTCTGAGATGTGAAAGTTACATCCAGTTGACGAGTCCTAAATAGGATGATACGTGCATCTTGGATTCCATTACTAACCATTAACCATCTATGCTTAAAATGCATGTGAATTAAGACTATGTCAAGGAACTCCGCACAGGATACACTAATGATTGGTGTAGAAATGAAAGAACAAATGAAGTCTGAGACAATCGATCAATATTTTACAAACGAATTATTTGTTGTATGGTTCTTGGATTCACGTTCTCCTCAATTGATGCTCTTGTTCATCATAGAATATGAACAACAAAGTTAATGTAATCAGTTTATAGATCAAATAAACAATGAAGATCAAAGATGAAATAGAAACATCTATCTATTGAATTGATTTAATGTATTCTGTTTTATGATAAACCTGAAATGTAATTATATTATTAGTTATGATAATGAATTAAGGTGTATCAATCTCAGTCAACGAGTTGAGATATTTCACTTGACCTTAAAAATGATATGAGAAATTAAATTATTACCCTTGATTAAATTAAATGGATCTTTGATGTTATACAATTGAATAGTGTTAGATTTCATAAATAAGATTGCTATTAGGCGAAGAAATCATTACAATTAGAGTTTTCTGTAATATTGAAGGTAGACCGTTATGGAAAATCTGAAAGTACTCTACAGCCATTTTGTCCTAGTATGAGACTCTTTGACAGTGTGCGTTCACGATCCCGCCTCGTGAGATTTATACTCAGAACTTATCAGTCTCGTGTGCAAACGCTCAACCTCTAGACCACTAAGTCAACATCTCACAATAGGATAAAACGGCAGTTCAGTGGTTCCGGATTTTTCATGGTGGTCTACCTTCAATTGACTCATGATCTTAACTATTGAAATTACTGTAATATCCACAAAAACCCACTCTGTAATTACTAACCAATGTTTCTCATGAGAAGACCAGTGGAGACTGGTAAATGAATGATATCAATATCATGTAACAAATCAATTAAAGTTAAGCAAATAAACCATTAGATGTAAACTAATTGTTTTGCATTTAATACACTCATTTCAAGGTTTGAATTTCCAGATTTTTGTTAGAACCATAAGTTCGTGATATCCACTTGGTGTTGTTTACTTGTATCTTCCTATTGTGAATATAACTTCACCCTATTGCACAAACAGGTGGCTATCAGAACTCAATAGATAAGTCGACAACGTGATGGCGTTTGAAACGGAAGGTACTGGGTTCGAGTCCCAAAGCGATTATCAACAAGTCTGAGTTTCAATTACGTCCAGCTGAGAAGTCCCAAATACGACGATACACGCGTTAAACTGTATCCCACCGCTAATCACTATCCATCATTTTTTATAAGATCGTAATCCTTATTTAATTACTCCTGCTAGTCCTAGTGGAGGAGCATAGGCCGACAATCATCAGTCTTCATCCAATTCTGCATTGGGCAATACTTCCCAGCTCTTTTCAGTAGTTATCCATTATTTTCATATCTGCTTCTATTTCCCGACACAGTGTATTCTTTGGTCTTCCTCTTTTCCGATTCACTTCAGGATTTCAAGTTAGGCGTTTGCTTTGTGACGCAGTTTGATGATTTTTGAAATGTGTATCGTATCGACTTCCAACATCATGTCTCGATCTCCTCTCCAACTAAAAGCCAGTTTGTTCCCTCTCACAGTACACTGTTTCTGATGGTATCTGACCAATAGATGTTGAGAATCTTGTGTAGACAACTATTTATAAATACTTGTACCTTCTTGATGATGGTTGTAGTAGTTCTTCAAGATCCAGCTATATACAATCGAACTATCTTGACATTCGTATTGAATATTGTGACTTTGATGTAGGTTGATAGTTGTTTTGAGTTCCATTTGTTGTTCAATATAAGCAATGCGGCCCTTGCTTTTCCAATCCTTGATTTACTTTTGCATCAGATCCTCCTTGTTGATCGATGATGCTTCCCAGACACGTGAAATATTTCACATCTTCCAGAGTTTCGCCATCATGTGTAATTGCGTTGATATGATAATAGTCAAACTGGACGCTACTGCTAGCCACTATTCATTCTCATAACTTCGTAATCCTAGAAGGTCCCATACCAAGACTAACCAGCTATTCAAGGATTTAGTAAAATCAATCCATGATATAAATAAAATAGACTTTATATAACAGATATATGATCAGAAACTTACAGTTTGATGATCTGTACAAATTTTCTCATCTGAATCATAATTCACTATACAAGTAGGTATTAACATGGAATTGGTTTGATTCCTATATGTTAACTTATCAGCATCATCACCATCATCATCAGCAGCAACAACAGCAACAGGATCACCATCCGCAGCAGCATCATCATTATCATCCTTATTATTCATTGGTGGATTGATCTTTTGAAGACTAGATGTTTGATGAAGTGCTGGATACACCTTAGTACAATGAGAATCTTCTTTATTGTCCATTTTTAATTCATTAAATTTAATAGTTTCATCAAAACATGATTTTCTTTTTAAATGACGAAAATTCAATGGAAAACATGTTGTTGATATAGAACTTAAAGTGGAACGTCTACTATCTATTCTTGATTTCTGAATAGAATCATTGTCTGGAACTATAATAACAAGAAAAGAAAAGAAAAAGAAAATGTAAGAATGATAGTGAAAGATATAAATCCAAATTAAATATAAACGTAATCCACGATCCCTTCTTCATGGGATTCGAACTAAGGATCTATCAGTCTTATGGTTGAGAAGTCTTACAATAGGACGAAACGGCTGTCCAGTACTTTTAAGTTGTTCATGATGATCTAGCTTTAATTGACTCATGATCTCAACTATTGAATTAAACTTAATTATCATTTTGTCTTATAAAACAAAGGACACTGAACACGTATTCTATGTTAGTTTAAGACTGTCTAACAATAAGGTTGATTACTCTTTCCATTTCTCTTTCTTCTGATGATCAACTGGATTGTGAAGACCTGCATATCTGAGTGGAAACATGGAATACAATGAATAGTTCGAAATCAATTGGACTTTCTATATCAATATACATCATCAAATGTAAATGAAGACAACTAGTGTAGCATCAGTCTAAGCATCAGTAGGCTTGCACATACACAAGGATAAAGACAAGATACTCAATACAACACGAACAATACAAACTTGGTCATACCTGATGGACAAACTCTGGAACAGGAGGAAAGTTTTAATTACCTATGTAGCATCATCAATCAACAAGGAGAATCTGATGCAGACGTAAAGCAAGGATTGGAAAAGCAAGGGCCGCATTGCTAAAATTGAACAACAAATGGAACTCAAAACAACTATCAACCTACATCAAAGTCACAATATTCAATACGAGCGTCAAGGCAGTTCTACTGTGCGGAGATGAAATTTGAAGAACTACTACAACCATCATCAAGAAGGTACAAATATTTATAAATAGTTGTCTACATAAGATACTCAACACCCATTGGTCAGATACCATCAGAAACAGTGTACTGTGAAAGAGAACAACTGTCTTTTAGTTGGAGAGGAAATCGGGACAAGATGTTGAAAGTCGATACGATACACATTTCAAAAATCATCAAAACTGCATCACAAACCATGCGCCTAACTTGGAATCCTGAAAGGAAACTGAAAAGAGGAAGACCATACTATGTCTGGAATTGGAAGCAACTATGAAAAAAATGAATAACGACTAGAAAGAAAAGGAAAGGTTTGTCCAGGACAGATTTGAATGAAGAATTCCAGTGAGTGGTCTATGCTTCTCTACGAAGGTTAAAAAGTCTAAGTAAGTAATCATATATTATGAAGTTCTAATATAAATTTGCTTAACCTGATTACATGGTCTGAATTTATGACAACATTAATTGTTTCACTAAGTATTCTTGTGAGGACGGCTGACGATTGAACTCAAGGAAGCTCTAAGATTCTCAGAAACATTCAAAGACATTTCATTCAATCATCTTTTAGAAGAACATTCCAGAATCTCAATGTGTAACTTCCCTAATGAATAAATGTTAAAACACCACTGCATAAGGATTGAATGACTATGATGTCAATTTAGCTTTTACTAAAAACTACAAATACCGAACTTGTCGATCCAATCAAATTGATGTCGAGAAAGGAAGGACTCCAGATCAGTTTGTTTTATGATCTAGATTTGTTTCCTCGATTGAGATCATCATTCAGATCATTTTACAAAGTGAACAAATTCAATCCACCACTCTTTCTACAAAACAATGATTCAATTAATAAGAGATTAGCTTTATACTTAGATGAGAATATCTAATTCATAAACTTCAATTATGTATGTATATGTGCGTGTGTGTGTCTGTGCGTGCGTGTGTGTGTGCGTTTATGCATGGTATATTTACTTATAGTGTTTATACAACTTAGTATCTATGGTTAGTATCTGGGTTAGATCAACATCAATTTAACCAATTGGTTACTTGTTTCTTTTAATAAATTTAATGGGTAAATGTTCACAGTTCATTTGTTTTGTTTTGTTTTGTTTGTTTATTTGTGTGTGTGTGTGTTTCTCAATGAATTTAATCATTAATATACAATTATTTGTTTTAGAGTATTCACTTCTTTATTCGTATAACTTACGGGAATATTCCGATTGTTGTTTAGAAATGTAATCGATCAGTCATTTATTGGTCTATGTAAGGATTGACTTGACATTATCTTCAACCATAGGCAAAGATGAGTGGGGGGCTAGCAATGGAAACCAAGGGAGTGGAATTCGGGACCTGTATCACAGACTTGTTTTATATTCACGCTGAGACTTAAACCCAGTATCGTTTACTTCAAACGCCATCGATTCATTCACTTACTGGGTTTGAATCCCGGAGTAAACATCAACTCTGGGAAGTAAGTACATTAAACTGACGAGTCTCAAATAGGAAGAAATACGTGTCCTAGATTACACTATTAGCCACTATCCATCTTTGCTTACAATGCTTATGACTTAAGGCAATATAGAGACAATCCATAAAAGATGTACATATGCCAATAATAGACTGTTCAATTACAGTCCTAGGCATTAATGAGAAGATTCAATCAAACACTGCATAATAGGAGGTGTTTCGCGGAGTTTTAATGAGGAGTATTGATCAATGGAGTTCAATCACATCTGTTGTGAGATAGTAACTCACTGAAAACAATGATGCATGTGTCGCACAATTTCATGGATGAGTTGAAGTTAGACATTAACACCGCTGGTGGATACCGGACGGCTCATCGGTCTATTGGTTAAGCATTTGCACGCGAGATCGATAAGTCTTGTGTTCGATTCTCGCGAAGCAAGATCGTAGATACTCACTACTGAGGAATCCCACAATTGAACGAAACGGCCGTCCACTGCTCCCAGGTTTTATATTGACTCATGATCTCAACTACTGAAATTACCTAATCAATTATAAAAAAAATCTTAATTTAAACAATAAAAATGCAATAAATGAATCTATCATGTCAATATCTCTATTGAAATTTAATTTTTCTTTTAATTTTCGGCATTACATTTCAAATGTGAATGTTACATAATTGATTACAAGATATCGTGTTTATATAAATGACAATATTCCCCTTAGCAACAACAACAACAGCATAGATACAAACAAACAAACAAAAAAATAAACGCCGACGATTTTCGCTCGGTCATTTGTCAACAACAAAAAAAAAGCATTTTTGTATTTTTATGTTTTCTTGAGAAAAAAATAGAAGAAAGAATATCATCAACAGTCTACGTAAAATTTTTAAAAAAATAGTTTCTATGTCGAAAATTTGCTATGAATAGTTAGTTTGAAATTGGAATAACCGAATTGAATATAGCCAAAGTATGTCAGAAATGAGCTTGTTACCATTGATAATATGTATAGATAGAATGGTATTGAGTTCGAGTCCCAGAGTGAACATCAACTCTGCGATGCAGGTGCATCCAGCTGAGGAGTCCCAAATAGGATGAAATGCGCATCAAACTGGATTTTACTGTTATCCCCTATCCATCTTTGCTCATAAAGCTTGTGAATTAAGGCAATATCGAGGCAATTAATTAATGAGACCATAATTTATAAATAACGTTTGGGGGATGCTACAGTGACCTTGAGAATGTCCACCTAGTAACCAGGACTAGATCCAAGTTATAAATCAGTGTGAAGAATAAAGATTACGATATAAAGTTAATGGTTACGATTAGAGACTTAATCTAGGATTTTCATCACGAATTGACATCATCTGTAGTGCCAAAACTCTATTTAACCAAAATGGATGAATGAATTCCGCGCCAAAATCAAAGACCTATTATCTTAAATATGATTGGTTCGTTCATAAACTATAGTTTCGTCGAGAAATTGAAACAGAGTAAACCTTTTGGATTTTACTAAAGTATCTTCTTTGTGAACTAACTTTGAATGTATTACAATCTTAAATACATTTGAGTTTTCGGCTATATGCTAAACCTCTTCTCAAACAGACAGACTCCATAATTGTATGGGTCTTTCAAAGATATAAGATCCAAATATTTCTTGAACTACATAGAAGTACAAGTATGTAATCTTTACATATTTGGGCAGTATCATCGATGAACACGGTGGATCTGATGCAGATGTGAAGGCACGGATCGGCAAAGCAAGAGCAGCATATCTACAATTGAAGAACATATGGAACTCAAAACAATTGGCAACCAATATCAAAGTGAGAATTTTCAATAGAAATGTCAATACAGTTTTACTGTATGGGGCCGAAACCTAGAAAGATACGAAAGCCATCATCCAGAAGATACAAGTGTTTATTAACAGTTGTCTACGCAAAATACTTCAGATCCGTTGGCCGGACACTATTAGCAACAAACCAGATCTCAGTGGAGGAAGAAATCAGGAAGAAGCGCCGGAAGTGGATAGGACACACATTAAGGAAAGCACACAACTGCGTCACAAGACAAGTCCTTACATGGAATCCTGAAGGCCGAAGGAGGAGAGGAAGATCAAAGAACACATTACACCGAGAAATGGAGACAGACATGAGAAGAATTAACAAGAGTTGGATGGAAGTATAAGGGACGGCGGAGGACAGAATGTGTTGGAGAATGCTGTTCGGCGGCCTATGCTTTATTGGGAGTAACAGGCGTAAGTAAGTAACAAGTATGTAATGCAATTCAGGTATTAAAACCTGTTATCAAATTGAAGTGAAATCAGCTCGAATAATTCATCTAAAGAGTCATATTCAACTTGTATAAATATCACATTACAAAAACATCACAGTTCTTCACAATTATACACATTGAATCATATTCAATTTGGATGATTAAAATGATATATATATGGTTACATAGTTGATCTACTATCTTTCTTGAATCTTGAATGAGGGAGGACTTACATTAAAGGTCAGAGAACAGGACAACATCTAGACATTTACATGACAACTCAAAGAGTACATCTCAATCCCGCTTCACATGAAAACTAAACAACACTGCACAGGCTTAACCCGATCAGTAGAGATCAATCCCCTTTCGCAGGAGAGCCAGAAACTACCCCAGGCTTAAACTTAATAATCCGATCAGTACATATAGGCTTTAACACTACAGCTCAATCCTGTAGCAAAACCA